TCTGGAAACGAAACATTTTGTTTGACCGGAAACATTTTTTTCAGTCTTTCATTTCAGCAAGAAAAACTGAAAATTTTCCATTTTGGATTGAACCAAATGAAAAATCAATCATTTGCTCAGCTCTACCTATCGGCACGTACCAACTTTTACTTAGCTGGACCACTGGCCTCATTCAGCATCACACAGAACTACTACTTCGGTTCACAAAAGATGAGATGCAATCAGAAAAGGGGTCTGAACAAAATGGCTATTGAGCCCATATTGCACAATACACTTGGCTCAGACACTAAACGAGGTTAGTGTGTTCATCAGGGTAAACAGTGAACACATGTCTTGAAATAGCTTCAAAGGCTGACAAGTACTACGGATTTTGAAGAATGCAGGATATTAAGGGAAAATCTTGGGGAAAAGATCTGAATTTTGGACTCCAAGAGATTATGGTTTGTGCCTGATTTCTGGTTTTCATTACAATACTCTTACAGTATTAGTTTGTAGAACTATTATCATCAGCAGGTTGTGGAGCTCTGTTGATACACATATCTTTTAAAATTTTCTTAATTTTTCAGTTAATTTACTGCATCTTTAAGCTGCCAGATTGATACCTTGGTCCCTCCAACTTCTGCCTTTTAGCCTGTGATACACAAATATGAGACAAAATATGGGGCAACGGTGCAAAGAGCAAGATCATGACAGGACCTTGCTTAACAATGCCGTGTTGGAGGCATGTGCAAGAAGGCTCCAACAATCAGACCTTCAGCAGGCTTGAGGGACTGCTTGTTCCTGGTTCTCCACCCTGCAAGGAGAAGGTTGCTGGGGCACGGCTGGGCCTTCGCCCTGCCCCCTCTTTACACTAGTCTGCATAGTACGGCCAGCACTTTGTGGGGAGCATTGGAACATATTGCACATGTTCACAAGGCAATCCCAAAGACATAGGTGCTGGAACTAGCACTCCCTGACTTGAAGTGGCTTCCATTCTATACAGGATTTATAGTTTGGTTCAATGGCTCTCAGCACCCCCACTATAAAAATAGTTCCAGCAGCCCTGCCTAAAGAGATTGCCTGTGTGTCTGAGACACAATCTGTGTCCAGCGCTTCTCTTGGACCAGTGGAGATCCTCACCACTCACTCCTGAGATCTGCAGCATAAATGCCACCATTGGACCATCTACCTCAAAATGAAGGACAGAAGAGAAACAAGGAGCAAAGCCACACGAGCTGGGCTCATTTCCCCCCCATAAATTGGACTTTATGGTTCAATGCTTATGATTTCCATAGTCTTATAGGGCTAAATCCTCACGTCTTTTCCCAGGCCTAACTTGACTTTAAAGGGTGTTTTGCCTGAGTAAGGACAGAATAAAAACTGAATAAGGATTTCAGGATTTGGCCCATAATTTGCTAAATCTTGAATTAACAGTTGATCTTTGAACTTCTCCTAGACTACTAAGCATTTAAGGCCATTCCAAGTTTCTCTGGAAGGGTTATTTCTTGTAGGACTTGTACAGAGTCCTAGGATTTGACTTGTGACCTCCCCTCAGATTAGATTTATGGCCTTGTAAGGTGAGACTTTAACTCCTTCTGGACTGTTAAGAAATGAAGACTGGGTCATATATCATTAGAAAGGTGATTCTCCTTAGACTGATAATAAGGTCTTGGGACTGACCTATAACTTCAACGTCACAAGGTATTAATGACTTCCATATAGGAACTATAGAGATGAACAAATGTAAATATTAGGATTTTTTAGATTTTTTTAATTTTCTTAGTTTCTAAAGAAATATATAAACAGTAGAACTTTTGTAAAGAAAAAATAAATATATAATCAGTAGAACTTGGTTTCTAAACATTTTGCCCAGCATTTGCAAACCTGGTTGCCTGAAGTTCCTACCTTGACACTATATTTAGGTACTTAAACGAGGGAACTGATACTTCAGGGCTGCTAAAACCCCACAGTTCCAGGTGATGTTAATGCTCAACACATCTGAAAATCAGGCCACTTAGGTGGAGCCAAAATATGGGTGTAGGTACCTAATCTTAGGCACCCATATGTGAAAATACTGGCCTTCATTTTGGGGGCAGGAACCATCTTTTTGTTATCTGTTTGTATAAAGCCCAGCACAATGGGGCTTCAATCCCTGATTGGAGCCTGTAGGCACGTTTGCAAAACAAATAATATATAATACATGGACTATACCTGTTCTGTAGGTACATAGCTTCACTAGGGTAAAATAAATGCGAGAGAACACATGGGTTCTATCATTAAAGAGATATATAGATGTGTAATACTGGACAAGAGGGGTCACATTTTCCGAGGAGATCAAGGCCGGATTTGCAAGTGCTCATCATTGACAACTGGGGCCAGGTTTTCAGAAGAGTTCAGTTCCCAGTTTGGCACCGAAAATAAGGCTAGATTCACCCAGAAACTAACCCTGTGACAATTAGGTCACATTTTCTGAAGAGACCAGCACCCTCCATGCTGAGTTCTTTCAAAAAAATCTGTCCTCAGTTGTGGTGCTGAATGTTCTGACAATTCTTTAGTGGTGTAGATGGACAAATGTCTCCATGATGGTTTAGATTGTCAGAAGACTGTATCTCCTTCCCTGTATTTAAATAATGAGAACTTCTGTTTAGTTTTGTTTCTTACTACTGTATTTCAGATCCAGTAAAGCTACGAACCTTCCGCTGTGACGGCCACTCCTGCAATCCTCCTGTAGGGAATCTAGCAACAGGCAGGACTCCGGTCTCTCTTACCACATGTGGGCAGAACAGCACAGAACTTTATTGCTTCTACCCAGACCAGCACCTCCTTCATTGGGCCTCCCAAGGCTGTGGGCAGCCCCGCTGCACTAAATGCAATGCCAATCAGCCTGATAACTCCCACCTTCCCTCTGATATGACAGATGATTTCTTCCTAAATCCTGGTTCCTGGTGGCAGTCTGCACAAGGGGTACACAGGGAAGAAATCAGGCTGGACTTGGAAACAGCGTTCTACCTGACTCACGTCATAGTAGTGTTCAAGTCGCCGCGCCCAGGTGCTATGGTACTGGAGAGGTCTCAGGACAATGGCCAGACGTGGAGGCCCTACAAATATTTTTCCGTCAACTGTACAGCAACGTTTGGGCTTCAAGATGATCTTATTGAAGAGGGCTCTCTGTGCACTTCCAGGTATTCAGACGCAGTGCCTTGCACTAGAGGGGAGGTAAGTGATAACAGACATTTGGACCATATTTAGAGGGTCAGTTAAAAACTGGCTAAAAATCAGGGACTACGTGTTGAAAGGGATACTGTCCAAATCAGTAAATAAAGGTAGGCACAACATTTAGGTTTTACATTAAGAAAATAAAAGAGGAGGTGAGGGGAACACAAAGGGGAAGTTTCAGAAAAAAAAAGGGAATACAAATGCTTTCATGGGTTTTTTTAGGTCAGTCAAATCATCTTTAATGTAAACAGTCACTTTCAGTGTTGCCACATACAATATTTTGCTAGTGCCTGAGGATTAGGAAGTGAAACTGTTTAAAAACAGGAAGTGAAACTGACCAACCTAGTTTCATTGTCCAAGCTGAATGAAGTTAGGGGGAAAATGGGAAACTAGCATAAATATTGAACAGTAAATTAGATTTGTAAAACTCGTTCTGTGTTAATCCATTAGATAGAAAAGGAGATGATTTTAAAGAAATATACAGTATGTTTATACTGACAATGTCTCTTTAAAGAGGAGTTATTAATTATTTACTAATAAAATAGCTACTTCATATATAGCACTTTTTATCCATAGATCTCAAAGCACTTCAGGTGGCAAGGGGGGTAAGTATCATTATTCACATTTTACAGATGGGGAACTAAGGCACAGAGAGGAGAAGTGACTTACCTAAGATCACGCAGCAGGTTGATGAGATAGCCGAGCTTAGAACCTAAGTCTCTGGACTCCAACCAAGTCCAATGCCTTCTCCATTGGACTATACTGCCTCTCTTATGTTATGTGAACAAATCTGAAGAAAAAGAGAACAGTTATACATGAATGGCTAGACATCTCCTGGGTTCACTTGGCTGTAATCATAGATATTCATATTTGAATAAGTGCCTCCGAGAGCCTTACTACATCTTCTGTAAGATCCTTTAGTGAGGTCACAGTCCTATTTATGGCATCACAATATGTAGTTACAGAAATCATCATGCTGTCCCAGGTTTGGCATTGGGACTTCACTGCAAAATAAGCGAGGATGTGCGAGGAGATGCCCTGGTTTGCTTAAAATGAAATTGTAGGAATTCCAGTGGTGCTTATTACGTCACAGCTGCTGAGGGGTTAAGGATTTCTTATCCTTATTTTCAGGCTGGGAAGCTGAGGCATAGAGGGGTGAAGGGCGAAATTCACCCCTGTGCATTGGCAGCATAAGACCTATACATATGGATGGTGCACGTATTGGAAATTTGTGGCAGCTGATCTGACTCCCAGACCATCCTGTTGTTTGAGTTGTAGCTCTGCTAATTAGTGAATATGATTTTTTTAAAACATGAAATAAGGAAAGTGGCATTGCATTTAAGACAACTGCACTTTTCTATTTTGTTATTTCTTTTGCACCCATCAACATACTCTCTAAACACCTAATACCATTTTGCATTGTTATAGCACCTTCTGATCAAGGCTCTTAGTACTTTACAAAATCTAATGCGTCACACCTCAGAATACACATAAATGGCATTATTGCCATTTTACAGATGAAAAAACTGAGGCATGGAAAGGCGAAATGATTTGCCCATGGTCGCACAGGAGGCTTCTCGTAAAGTGAGGAGTAGAATCCAGGTGTCCCGAATCACAGGCCTTAATCACAAACCATACTTCTTTCCCCTGCCTCTGTAACAAAAGCCCCTGTCTCTGTAACACTTTGGTTTGTGCTTACATTTTTATTTAACCTTGGAGAATATCATTAAAGACCATGTGTTGCTGCTAAATTAAATCTGAGATGTGGAGGGCAGAAAATCAGACAGTAAAAGCTTCATCCAACACAAGTCTCTGCAATGACAAATGTCATTTTGTGTAGCAAAAAAAGTTCAATTTATCATCGAGCCAATATAGATATGCTGGAAATGTAGATTATTATTAATAATAATAATATATTTACATAGACCTTACAACCTTGAAGAGCCCAAATAGTTCTACAAACTGATGAATGAACTAAAAACAGATAGGATCACTTCACCCACCATTAGGGTGACCAGATGTCCTGATTTTATAGGGACAGTCCCGATTTTTGGGTCTTTTTCTTAAATAGGCTCCTATTACCCGCAACCCCTGTCCCGATTTTTCACACTTGCTGTCTGGTAACCCTACCCACCACTGAAGTTCAGCCACCTCTGCAATGAAATGTAGCAGGTGTGTAGTAGCGCACAGCAACATGATACAACATCCTCCCGGAGAACAAGAAGAGGAATACTGATATGCAGCAATAAAATTAATAATCTTTCATTTATATGGCACCCATAATCCCAAAAGATCCTGAAGTTCTGGACAGACTTTATGAGGATCACTTAATTCACCATCATCACTGAAATGTGGGTATTTCTGGGGTACAAATGCATTAGACATTCTGAGCCAGGACCATGACACAACAGATTTTTATTCTAATGAAACTGATGGACGGAGAGTGGGAGGCGGAATGTAGTTACCAAAAGTGAAAGTTGATCAGAACCATTGAGCTAACAGTCCTACTCTTACAAAAAGTGCCATGGGATTTTTAACCACATGTGGTCATAACCTCAGTTTTTACATCTTATTCTAAAGATGTCACCTATATCTGCACAGTGCCCCCGGGACACTGAATCAATACTGACTCAGAAGGAAGAGTGTCACCTAAGAAATCCCCAGTGCTATTTCCTGCAGCATCCTTTGTTTTCTTTGGAGTTCCCCCATCCAGTTGCTGAAGCCAGCTTTGCGTGAGAGCTGGTGAACTCATAGCACAAGGTGGTAACTTCTGAGAAATTATCTAACTTGTTCCCAACTGAAGTTACCAATTAATGTTCAGATGATTAAGATGCTAGTATTACCCCTTTTGACCTGAGCTGGTAGCCAATATTCAAGGTCTTGCAGGTTGTTTCTGTTAGGAGGAAAAATTGATAATGGGTCAGGGATTTCTTTGATGCAATCCTGCTTATTTACAAAGAATGCACACAAAGTCCTGTTTCCCTGAACACAGTAAGAATCAAACAAGAGGAGACCATTTCCTTGCTCATTACTCCAAGCCTCTTTTTCCAGCCAGCACTGTACCCCAAAAGCTCTCTTTTACCTTTCTCTTGATCACATTACAAGTTCTTCTCTAGCTATCCTTGACTTTCTGCTGCCTTCTCTCTCTCTCTGTCTGTGATGTTTCTGGCTGCATCTGGTCACATATATACACACACACCTCCACCAAAGCAATATTCTGCCATCTGTGTTTGCATTCAACTCCCAGTGAAACCCCTCCATCCACATAGCTCTGCTCCTGACCAGCCTTGCATGTGGTGTATGTTTTGGGCAGTGGCTCCTTTTGGCTTCAGCTATTATACTCCAGAAGGAGCTTAGTTGCTTCTTACATTTATCCCGAATGAAGGATGGCTGTTACGCCCACCCGCTTCATCCAACCCCCAGCATAACTCTATGGAATAACATTTTTTAGCAGATTTGTTCACCTACAGTAAAACATCTCTCTACTGTAATGCTTCTGTGTGGCATTATGCATCAGTAGATTGAACTTTTTACTACTTGTCTATATGTCTACATTTCTAAGGCACCACTCACTATTGTATGTAGGTACCAGCACTAATATTATCGTTAGGGACAGATAATTTAACTGAGGATGTGGCCAAGGCAAAAGGTTAAATTAATTCAATATTGCAGTCAGACTTTGGTTTGCTCAGAACCTGGGAGTTCAGATCCCATCTGGTGGAGATAAGGATGGAAATTCTAGAACCTGCATACTGACAGCACGGGCATTCAAGGATGTGGGACATTAGGAGCACATTTTTAATAAACTAGAGCATCCAGAAATGGAAACAAATGTTCTTCTCTGTAGAATAAGATGTTTGTATAAAAGGAAGGCATTGACATGCAGGGTCTGTATCACAGTGTCCTACTTACAGCCTCAGGAGCTGATGATCAGAAATAAGACCCTACGATATTGGGTCTGAAGAGTATAAGTGAGTTTTAAATCAAATTCTGTGCGTGTCTGTGTGACAGATGACACCAGTGAAGTGTGATAGAATAAGCCCATTACTGGAATTCACTGGGGGGAGAGGAATTGTGTATGCCTGACTAAGGTAACTGGTTCCTAGGCAACGTGTGAAATGTGCCTTGCTTGGAAGACCTGTACACTCTTCATTGTCTAAACCACGGTGACCCCCTTGGGTATGGGAGTGCCCCATGCTGCCTGTTTGGCAAAGATGTCACTTTTAAGCTAACAGATTTTTAAGTATTCCTATTAAAAAAAACACGGTGAGGGTCAAATTCAGACCTGGTGTAAGGGGGTGCAGCTCTCTGCTTCACAAGCACCAATTTGCTCAAACGTGGGGCAGAGCCATCACCATGGAGGCCCCGGGTGTCTGCCCCCTCTAACTGCAATGGAGCAACACTGCTAGAAACTCCCTAGGTAGCTGCTACCCCAGAGGAGGCTCTGCATTACATGCGGGAATCCTCTCAAAACTCAGTGCTTCTTTATAGGGACCAGTGCAGGGGACAGGGTTATGTGCGCGTAGCGTACCTGGACATACAGATCCCTGACCCACAGAGGGTCCTGTTCAGAGGCCAGTGCTGCAAAGGGGTGGGAAGAGGGATAGCCATGCACAATATTTGCTCAGTCCTTTCTCAGGCAAAACTCTTATTACTACAATCATAGTTTTTCCTGATTAGGGACAGAGAGGTTAGGGCTGCAAGATTTGGACCCATTGCTTATTCCTCCCACTTGCCACCATAATCTACTTGTGGCCTCACAACGATTAGTGAACTGACAATGTTAAGGGCTCCACAGAGGGATAAGCAGCAGGCCCAGGTGATCTCTTAAGCAGGGCCAGCCTTAGGGAAAATAGCACCCTAGGTGAACTTGCATTTTGGTGCCCCTTTAAGCAGGGGAAACTATTTTCAAGCAAATGCCCTTAAATAAAAGATGGAAGAGCCCTCTCTTTACCTGCAATATGTGGATATGCTAATAATTTACAAGATTTTCAATGAGG